AGATTGTCGTGCAGAATTTGCAGCCGTCGAAATCTGCAAGGGAAGTGGAGTGGCACGGAGCATGAACTAGATCCATGGACGTCGGAAGCCACAGTTACACACGACCGCGACACAGCATGCAGCCGGCGCCAAATCGATAGCATCAATCCAATCCATCCATATCCGACAAGGGACCAAGGGACCTCCCCCGCAGCGCAACCACACGGCAGCTCACCTCACGCCTGCCCGCGTTGCTCCTTCCTCGCACCGTGAAGGCTGGCCGAGGGGGTTAAGAAGGCTGGGAGAGCCGAGCCTGACTACCAGAAGATGCCGCTGCTATCAGCCGACAATGGCGACACGAGCAGGAGTGCCAGCCGGCAGCGTGCGCGCACCGAAGTGGCCGAGCACAGGAGCATGTGGGACCGCCTCAACTTCCAGAAGATCGGCTCCTGGTTGAAGAAGGAAGAGCACACTCCGCCGCCCTCGCCCACCAAGTTTGCCAAGCAGGCGGCTGGTGCCAATAAAGAGAACAAGGAGGAGAAGAAGGAGATGAAGAGGCCGCACTCGAGTGGTGGGCTGCTGGGGAGGAGAGGCAGCAAGAAGGTCATCCCGGGGCTGCCTAGACCCCTGACCTTTAAGCGCATGCAGAGCGAGAAGAGAGACAATCTGCTCGAGGTACCCGAGACCGAACCACGGAGAGCTGTCTCGGAAGACCGCAAGAGCTCCGTCCCCTCGAAACGAAACCCCTCGCCGCCTCCAATGTCCATGCCGTCCATGTCTGCCCCTGACGTCCTGAGTCCGAATGAGAGCAACAGTGAGAAGGAGAAGGAGTCATTGCGGGAGATGGATTCATTGCGAGGAGTCAAATCATTCCAAGTCGAGTCATTGCGAGAGGCCGACTCACTGCGAGCGGCATCGTTGAGAGCGGCTGAGTCATTTGCAGATATAAAACGCGGGGAACGCACAATTGGTGGAGGACCCGATTCCAACATACCTGCAGGCGCACGGCAGGTGGATTACGGCATAGAAGAACCTGAAGACTACATGTCTGCCGGCGAAATGTCCACCGCCGAGGGGCCGCCTCCAGTAGAGAGGCCGCCGCCCCCGCCCCTGCCGCCAATGGAGGTAGCCGATGCTTTCTCGGAACACGGCTCACATCACTCAGGCTCGGACATTGACGATATTCAGTTACAGGAGGAGCTCGAGGCCAAGTGGATCCTGAACCTCAGCATGCACTTCCGAGACATGTCGGATCGCGAAAAGTTCTTCGTCACATTCGCCGAGCAGCCAAACAAATGGAGGAGAGTCACAGTATCGTGCGACTACAGACGCCTAGAGCCCGACTCACTCGAGTCTGATCTCAAGACGCTGCACTACCAGCGCGATAAGAGCTCCCGAATCTACGAAGCGATCCGTGACTCCTTGGCGAGCATTCAATTTTACGATACCGTCACGAACCTCAAGCTCGAAACAACGGATGGTCAACTCCATGTGCACGTTACTGAGGATATTAATGAGATCATCCCGTACCCAGCCACATCAGCAATCGAACACCTAGACTGCAAGCGCTTCCGGGAGAACGCAGTCACCTTCGACTCTCACATCTCAGGCTTCGTGTACAAAGTCTCGGTCAATAACAGGACATACATTAAGAAGGAGATTCCCGGCCCAGATGCAGTCGAAGAGTTTCTGTACGAGATCAATGCTTTGATCAGCGTGCAAGAATCCAAATGCGTCATCAGATTCGAAGGTGTGATAGTTGACGAGCAGAATGAGCTTATCAAAGGTCTGCTAATCAGCTATGCTGAGCAAGGCGCGTTGGTGGATATGATCTATGACTTCAAGCCAACAGGCCAACTTTACTGGGAGCGACGTGAACGATGGGCACGACAGATCATCGAAGGTTTATCCGAGATCCACGAAGCCGGCTTTGTGCAAGGCGACTTTACACTCTCCAACATCGTCATAGATAATGACGACAATGCGAAAATCATTGATATTAACCGTCGTGGCTGCCCTGTCGGTTGGGAACCACCTGAGCTAGCCAAGCTTATCGAAAGTGGACAACGAATATCGATATACATCGGTGTCAAGTCAGATCTTTACCAACTCGGTATGGTGCTGTGGGCGCTAGCAGAACAGCAAGACGAGCCGGAGCGCCAGCAAAAGCCACTGACCCGCACACTCGATCGGCCAAACACCGATGTCCCAGTGTATTTTCGCGACATCATCAGAGCCTGTCTTAGTGACTCGCCCCGAGCGAGACCATCAGCCGCAAACCTCCTCAAACGGTTCCCAGAGGACATACTAGATAGAGATTTCAAGCCCAAGGCTGCTATCAGAAACAGCGCCTCTACGCACAGGAGCGACAAGGAGTACATCGACCCCAGGACGGCAGTTGATCTCGAAGACATATCAAAACACCGCCGTCACTCACGGCAGCAGTCGTCGTTCGAGGAGATTCATGTGCCCCGTACGGAGTATCCCGCATCTTCTGGCTCATATATCATTCCCAACAACTCCGATCGTGGACGCTCCCCTGGCCCTCTGAGCATTGGCAACAGGACCGGACGGAGTGAATACTCACCTTATCCTGCTCACCGTTCCGTCATGTCGCTCGACGACTCAGAACTTGAGAATGAGCTGGCAAGTCTACCAGCCAGTCGAGAGACGAGATGGGAGCAAATTTACATCGATGGTGATACCAAACTTGTCCAAAGGGGATGCGCCGACCTTGACGTCCACGACTTTACCACACAGGAGCCGAAAGATATACACCTCACCGGTCCACCGAGTGAGATGGAGAATTCATTTCTAGGTAGCAGATCAGCCGAAGACACTCCTCTAAGGGTCTCCTTTGTCAGTGGACTCCAGCCTACTGAGCCACATTCCATGGAAAGCAGTCTTCAAGAATCATCTGACCGCGGCCGTGACCGAGAGATTGGAAACAAGACTTCCTTTAGCAGTCGAGTGCATGAGCTATCACAAGGACCACCAGATCACACCCCCTCGGAGCTAGATGCTACACCAGACTACTACGAGGGCCGGCAGTTTCATATACCTGATTCTGCCGTGCTCGCCAACCTGGAGTACGACGTTGCCATGGACTCTTCCGCTTCCAACACTGCACCCCCATCACGGGTCAGCACTGGTTTCTCCGTCTTCGACCGTCCGGAAACCTCGCGGAGAACTGGAACGGGTTTCTCAGTCGCACAAGGATACCGTATGCCACTGCATCAAGATTCTGGCTTTGGCGAGCCCGAGCGGAGATCTTTCGACAGCGAGCGCATGCGCCAAAGTATTGAAAGCATCAAAGACCTAAACTTCTCCAGTGAAGACGAGGCAAGAATCGACGAGCGGCTATGGGATGAGAAAAGTGGCCCAGTATTCGGCGATGGTGTCCGTGGAGCTGAGCTAGAGATTAAGCCAGAACCCATACCCATATTTACCATCCCAGCATCGCCGCAGAAGAAAGAGAAGCAGAAAGAGGCGCGCACATCGATGCCGCCTCCACCAATACCCAGTGTTGGACCGTCAAATGTACTGAAGGTTGAAGATGTTCAAGACAAAGCTTTGGAAGAGAAGAACTCGAACACCACCATCCGACCAGCCAGTAGTCGTACTCCAGTCTCTTCAAACACAAGCCCAAAACCCGTGGATTCCATGGATGTTGTTTCAGCCGAAGCCAAACACATTTCGAAGAAAGCATCTAAGAAAGCAAGCACTGTCGGCTCATCATCTAAGGATAAGCTACCACGAAAGGCTTCACACCACGACCCCTTCCTCGATGACTACATGTCACCAGCAGAAGAGTCCGACGGTGACGAAGATGACAAACATCGCGCATCGAACGATCTCTCTGCCTACCTCTCTCAGTCCATTTCCTTTTAACCACTCCATCGATTTTCCATGCGCGAACATGAGAAGCAGAAGAAGAAGACTTAGGTCTCGGTTCGCAAGGACCAAAAGTTTGACATTGAGAGCGTTCATTCGTTACTCCTTTCCATTCATAAAGTCACACCGTTTAACTACTTTGCCATTCATTCTATCTGTCTTCATACAAGTTTAGTATCATTTTAATGTCTCTGTATGTGTCTGTTCATTCATTCTCAACTCCTTCTTTTAGGCTTTCTTTTAGCGTTTTGTGGGTGTCCATATCTGAGCGAGCGTTCATGTTTTGGATTGGTTGGCGTTAATCTGTGTGGTTGTGTCGTGATTCATTTCATGATGGACGATCTGGGGGTTGTTTGTAAATTTGCAGTAAAGACAGGTTGTGAACATCTCCCATTTTAGGCGTTTTCGTGCAAGTTGGATTGTTTAAGAGCGGGGATACCAGGTCGACTTTAGCATTTGGTAGCATGGTATGGATGGGCATTTCGGAGAATCATATTGCATTTACCTCTTTAACTGAATCACTCTCCACATGCGAGCATGCGTCGAGTCTGATACTAATGTCTGTGGCGATAAGGCACATCGAGTTTCAAGCCTAAGCTCGAGAGCTACGAGAAGTCACAACAGTGATAAGTGAGTGAATGGTATAGCCACTACATCAAAGAGAGAAACTGAACAACCCTTTATGTAGTACTTCTCCCTACTATAGTAAAGCGTATTGAGGGGTATGTAAGCAGAGATGGAAAATCTAAAAATTTATAATATTATTTGTTTCTATAAGTTCTCTTGTCAGAAGCTAATACAAGCTGTAAGGTGGGGCTTATTGTTTTTATACTTGTTTAGTCTTTCCCTTGTATGTAGTGCAGCCATTGATCTAGCCAGAACGCACTGATGCAGTCTGTATAGGCACCAGCGGTGGAGTAGGGTTACTCCTGCCGACAGACCATATCGCGATCGCATCAGCTAGTCTTTCTCTCCTGTTTAATCTATTTTACGATTCCGTCGTTGCACACATCCTGACGACTCATGTACACGCTACAATAAGCAATCAGCGTGACCAACTCTTGACTGGTTCCCGAGACGTACAATCGCACTCTCCCTTACTGCCCAGACGTACTTACAACTACAACATGGCGAACGCAACACAAGGACTATTCAAGCTCCCAAATGAGCTTCTTCTCGAGCTGGCTGCATTGCTCGGCCCTGCCTACCTCCGGCGCCTCAGTCAAGTCAACCACCGCCTTCTCGACTTCGCCCTCGACTATTCTCGAACATACGTCAGCAGACTCGCCGCTCTACCAGATGATGTCGTGCTGAGAATCGTCGCGTATCTGGATAATGTTGGGTATCTGGGATATATGGCAAACATATATCTAAGCCGACTCGCACAAGCAAGCCATCGGTTCTATCCTCTTGTTATGGACGCAATCCTGCGCGAGGAGGTACGCACGCGGAGTACCAGGCTGATGGAATTTGCTCTCGCCAAGAGAAGGATAGGGATGATGAAAAGACTATTACAGAGGGGCGCGGATGTGGAGGCACGAACTTTTCACTACCCGTGTTTCAGCTTCTGCTATACTCACTTTTCTATGCACTCCGTGTGCTATACAATGAATTGCTGGATGGTGTCGCCTTTATCACTCGCTACATGGCACGGCGACATAGGGATGGCCAAGTTGCTCCTGCATTTTGGTGCAGACGTGCACGCATTCTTCGTACACCATGATGATTGTTCCTTCAGCGGGACAACTTTACCCACGCTTTTATCTACGCCACTTCTGTTTGCAGCATACCACGGTCATGAAGGCCTGGTTCAACTGCTCCTGCAAGCTGGCGCGAGTCCGATCGCTCAGGGTAGCCTTTACATACTTTCCGTAGCCATAACCGAGCGACATGGGCAGATCGTATTACGGCTTTTGCAAGTTCTGGATTCTATCAATGAGCCCAGTGATTCCGTCATAAAGGAGCTCTTTCGGGTGGCTTCTGAAGGAAATCTCCGATCACTTCCATCAGAACTGGTTAGAAGATACGAGCATGTCATCCTACGGCGGTTACCGTCTGTGACATCAACCGAATGGCACCAGGAAGGCTACATTGCAGCGACCATGGAACTAGCTGTAGCCGCAAAGTTCGTCAAGGTTGTCGAGTATCTCGCTCCATTGAAAACACGGCTTCGAACGGAACAGACGAGCTACCTTGATTCGGCGCTATATAATATTATCTCATGTGATACCTGCAGAGGCAAGGTCCGCAAGAGGGAGCTGCATCAAGAGGTCTACCAGATCGTCGAGACGCTACTAGCGCAAGGTGCAAATCCAGATGTATCTGGACAAGGGGAGTCTGCTCGAGACATTGCGTCAACTCATCCAGACCCTAGAGTGAGGAACCGATTGCTACAGGCGGCACGAAAGCAGCCTCCTAAAGACTTGTCCTCTCGAGTAGGACGTTCATGGGTCAATCCGTCGCAAGCTTCACCGCCACATGTCCCAAGACGATCAAAACGATCGCGCCTGCCCCCTCCAGTAAACCTATGGGATTTTGTAAAGCCTCACAACAGTCAAGGGTAATCTGAAGATCAGGAGAGCAATGTGTCAGCTGTTTCAAAGAGCAATGAAGATGATACTAGTGGTGGCCAAGTGATGAGTGTCTCGACCTCAGTTTCAACAAGTGTAGCCAACGCCTCAGGAGATCACACAAAGCTACAGTCACTACTTACTAGTTTCAATATGCCCTCAATTCTTCCACCAAAAAGTGTATGGGCCGAGATTCGTTCGACAACAACACCTGCTTCAGCACAGGCAAAGGTAAGCCAAGATCACGCATTTCCAGCCTTGTCAAGGCCACATAAGACGAGCATGGCCAACATCGAAAGCAGCAGCATAGCTACTGCTGCGTTCAAAGGCAAGACTGAAGCTAGCAAGACTGGAGCTAAGGAAAGTGACACCAAGCAAACGTATGCGTCCGGTGTAGGTAAGACACCAAGCACTCAGCAGAGAAGCAGAAAGTCAGTGAAGGGGAAGAAGAAGTGGGAAAAGCTAGTCCTTTCTTAGCCTCTACTCCGGCGTCATGAGGAACTTTCCTATGGGTTGTACTTCCAACAATTGTTCCTGGAGATAGATACTACTACTTTATTAGTGAACATCTAAGCTACAGAGCAATATCTCATTTAGGTAGTAGTGACTTTTCTCATTGTAATTACTCATATCTACTCAAAACACTGCATACTCAAACATCTTCTAAATCTTGTGCATATCCAGATGCGCGCCTCTAACTAAATCTCGAGATCTTGAACGTTCAGCTTCTCGTATGGATTAGAAGGCGACGACCCTCATACCACGCTTCGTAGGCATGTTAGCCATCTCAGCACGCCGGCGAGCGGAAGAGGTGAGGAACCCAGCTGGGTACTCGACGACAGCGTCACCAGAAGCAGGGGCTGGTACCGCGGGTGCTGCAGACTGGCCATTCTGCTCTTCAGCAGCGTCGTCCTGCTGGTCTGCTTCGCCCTCGTCGTCGCTTTCCTCAGCTTCGTCTTGCTGGTCACCCTCCTTGATGTCTTGTTCAGCTCCGTCTTGCTGTCCAGCTTGTTCTTGCTCTGCCTTCTTGTCCTCCTCCTGCTGCTGCTGCTTCTTCTCGTCCTCGGTAGCTTTCTTGTCAGCCTCTTCCTGCTTCTTCTTCTCTTCCTCAGCGGCTTTAGCGTCAGCCTCTTCCTTCGTCTTAGCGTCTTCTTCGGCTTTCTTCTGTTCCTCAGCAGCCTTCTTCTCCTCTTCCTTAGCAGCTTTGTCAGCCTCTTCCTTAGCCTTCTTGTCCGCTTCCTCTTGCGCCTTCTTCTCCTTTTCGGCTGCTTTCTTATCAGCTTCTTCTTGTTGCTTGGCCTGCTCCTCAGCGGCCTTCTTCTCTTCCTCAGCCTTCTTCTTCTCTTCTTCGGCCTTCTTCTTTTCCTCCTCAGCCGCGTTGGGCGTCTCGGTGGCCGCAGGCGCAGTAGCATTTGCAGTGGACGAAGCGACCAGCATGGTCGAGTTTGCGGCCTCGCCCATTACTAAGGAAAAGCTCTCAGTGACCATAGGCGCTGGTGGTGCTGGGTGGGTCATGGACATGTTACCAGCCGCAGGAGTTTCAGGAACAACAGTGACAGCAGCGGGAGGGGGCATAGTGTGTTCTGGCGCTGCCTGAGTCTCCTTAGCCGGCATCTCAGCTGGCGGTGGCATCTCGGCAGGTGGAGGTGGAGGAGGCATGGTGTGCTCCGGTGCTGCTTGAGTTGTGTGTGCAGGCATCTCAGCTGGAGGAGGCATCTCGGCGGCAGGCGGAGGCGGTGGCATGGAATGTTGGGTAACCATGGGGGCCGCAGTCTGTTCGACCATAGTTGTAGTCTCTGGCGCAACAGTTTCGTGAGTGATGGCCTCGGCTGTAGTTGTCGCTGCAACTTCTTCGGTAGTAGTGGCTGCTGCTGAGATACTGGCTAACTCCTGGGAAACGTGCATGGCTTCCATGGCGTCTGCGGAGGACTTATGGGCTGCATCCTTAGCCTTCTCCGACGCAACATGCATAGACTCCATGGCATCTGCAGAGGCCTTGTGAGCGGAAGCTTTGGCCTGCTCAGAGGCGACGTGCATGGCTTCCATAGCAGCGGCAGACTCTTGGTGAGCCTTTGCTTCTGCTTCTGCCTTGGCTTGGTGCTCGGCTTCCATCTTTGCTGCCGCTTCCTGATGTGCTTTCTCCTCTGCTTCGGCCTTTGCCTGATGCTCGGCCTCCATCTTTGCAGCGGCCTCCTGGTGGGCTTTTTCTTTGGCCTCTGCTTCAGCTACATGCATTGACTCCATAGCATCAGCGGCAGCCTTAGCCGGATCAACTGCTGGGGCAGGCGCAGCGTCGCCCAGATGTTCGGTGCGTGCTACGACCCGGGACGGAATGTCAATGTTGATACGAGCAGCCAGCTTTGCGTTCCTAGGAAGAGGACCGGCAGCGACGGCAGCTGCCGAAAGGAGCGTAAGAAGGGGGTATATGGTCTTCATTATGGGTGTTTGGGTTGATCTAGAAGGACAGTAATGGAACTTGAGTCTTCGTTATTACAATGGAAAAAAGAGAGAATGAAGAGCTCAGCTCAATATAATTAAACACTAGTGCACGGCACTTTGGAGAAAAGAAGGTGGTTGTTTGAAGACGACTTGATGAAGAGTGGGCAGAATTTGCTAGATTTGGGACTTCATGATATATGTACCTTGATCGGCTCTTACGGCATGGAAAAGATTCAGGCTGTACCCCTAGAAGTAAACAGATCGTCTGGAGCAGTTCCATACTTGGTGGTGTTTGATGAATTCCCGGCATCGTTTTCGCCTTGTCGAGGATGCCTTCAGGCGGCTAGGCGGCTAGGCAGGGTGACGACGACACTGTTCCCCCACCTCTCTCGAACGCTAACAGCTGTCTCTCCGCTGTCTAGATAGCATTGACAGTGCTTGGCGTAGACGTTACCGAGCCAGATCCATGTGCGCGATGAGGCGCAGCACGGAAAAGACCAATCAGATTCATGAAAGACGAGAAAGAAGCATCGAAGCGTGGATCCGCTCGTCAAAGTCTTGGCCTGACAGGAACCGTCGGAGAGTATGTAGCAGGTCAAGCTGCAGGAGTATTGCAGTGTTGAAGCTCGCTTCCTTGGCGGGGATACATATATGCATGCTAGGGGTGTGAGGCCGGCAATGTTTCAGCGGCCCAATACAGAGTAGTGCCCGGATATCATGACAGCCATGAGCTTCAGGCCCAAGCCACAACAACGATCGGAGGCCGAGATGATGTCAAAATGATCAGGGAGTTGTTTGGACGTTCGCGCAACTGAGTGGGCGTTTGCAGAATCTGCAGTCGGAGGTCTCTTGGTTTCATGACACACTAGGCTCCGGGTACGACATGATCCGAGGTCGAGATGAAAGTTGTGACTTGATAAACATTCCGTTTTCTTGTAAGTGACAGGATCGTACGACACACTGAAGTCCCCAAGAAAACTAGGGGTATGATGTAGCAAACTATCCAATCGAAGTGGCAATGATGCAAGCCCGAAAACGTCCATCAATGACTCCCGACGACGCGTAGATAAGAAACTGGAGACTCTTGACACAACAGCGCTGGTGGCGCGAATGTCACGCGTGCTTATTGTCCATTCGTCGCAAGCGGACAGCGAGCGTCAGCTTCATTCGTTCAAGACGGAAAGTCATTTGTTCATGAGCTCTATCTCTACGGTGTGCTCCCCGAGAGATATTTCTGAACGCACCCTGAAGGAACGAGTGAAAGCAGAAGACGACCGGAGGTGGAAATATTGTGACCCATCTTTCGAGTCTCATACAAACCATGCTCGGCCGGAGCCTTTGGGACTTTCAGTAGTTCTAGTATTCGCCTGTCGACTTGGAAATGGAAGAGTAGCAACGGAATGTCACTACAATTCAGTCTTTGCAACGGATTTTGCGACCGGGTAACGGCCTGATGTCAGGGGAATGTCCTTGCGAAATGCGGTGAACACATACGTCGAGACAGTGTGTTGTGTTTCTCGTATATGTGCTAGGGTCCCGTAAAAAACGCCAGGGCTGAAATGTGGCTGCCCGGGCCTCGGTAGGGAGATTGACCGGCAAATTTAGACAATGCTTATTATTGGCGCTTTACCGCCTCTGCGCGCCAAGCAAATCCGCTTCAATTCAGGCCCCTTCTACTAAGACCAAGCAATAGCTTGAAAACTGCCCGTCGTTGTCGAGATGTTCGCTGAAGTTTCCTCGCGCTCAGGGGCTTCGGCGCGGCTACTCAGTGGGTCGGAGGAAGGGCAATCATCCGAATCCGAGATGCAATGCAGCGACAGCATCCTCACAACACCAAGGAGTTCTGTCCGCCCCAATCCGCTGAGCTGCAAAGGCAGAACAGTGGCAGTGTTGAGGCACCGAGTACAGTAGTAAGCACAATATGAGGATGGGCATGTTGAAATAGCATGTCATAAGATCTGGGGGGCAGCCAACCGGGTTAGGCCATGGGTTAGGCGAGCACTTGCTTTGACGCTTCCTGCTTCCTTTCTTTGCTGTACGGTGTACGGCTCGACTGCGCCCCGACGAGATGAGCAATTGACGTCACAATGTCTTGCGCTTACCCCAAGCCTGTATGATTATACCGGCGGCATGCCAGTGGCGCCAGCAAACCTCGGCGGTGGTCGCGTGCACAGCCAGCGATGAGCACGCGACACTGCAACGGATGGTAGCGACGATGGCGGAGGCATATGCATCAGATGGAGATGGGCCAAAGAGAAAGACGATGGGTGGAAGCCTGTGCCTCAGCGGCTTGCGCGCCGCTGCGTAGGTCCAAGCCGCTAGAGGTGAAAAAGTGGGACTTTGATACGCATACGCACGCTTGGATCAGGACGTCTGACCTCCTTTGCCGGAATCCGGGCTTCAACGCGAACTTGTAGGCAAGCAGCATCATAGGTCCGCTAAGCATCGAGTGAAGCAAGCGGTCACTCCTCCACTCTCCACTTTTGGTCTTGAACCCTTTCCCCTCTTTTGTTTCCCGTCACTCCTTTACCTGTGTTGTCGACATACCTCGAGCCCGACCACCAGGCTCCGCGCGTACCCGGGAGAAAATAGAGCCGACAACTGCGCCTCCCGTTGGACCATTTTGAGCAGCATACTCTATTCCACGAGTGTCAAGAAGCAGCATCCCGCAGACCCCTTAGGCGACACAGCTCCGAACTTGCACGCACGCGACACAACATGGCAAACACTACCCTTCCAGACGATGGCCAATGGAACAGCAAACCAGCTTGGAAGCTGCCAGGATGGTGCGAACCAGTTGTACGTACCTAAATCACATCAGATTTCCCATAGTATGGCATACTGACAGGGCCTTGCGAGCAGATGGTCGCCAGTATCCTTTTCTTCGCCATGTTTATGACACGGAAACGAGACTTCAAGATTTTCGGTCGATCATCACAGCGGACCGGTTATCTTGACAACACACCGAACGAATCCACAGACCGCCTTCTGCAATCAGACAGCGACAGCGACTTCGACGAGATCAGCGCGACCAAGAACCCCAACGCACCCAAAGTCCGCAGCATCCTCTGGTGGAAGGTCACAACACCCAGCACATCGCGCTTTCGAAACAACATACACAGTCGCATACTGCAGCGTTTCCCATTCTTGATTGAGATGTTCTACTGGGTCATCAACTACGCATTCTACCGCATGACCGCCATTGCATCGGCCAAGCTCTTCGCTGGGCGAGGAATATGGGACGTAGCACAGGAACATGGAATTGCAGTACTAGAAGCGGAAGAATATGGTTTCCTGAGATTTTTATTCCCGGTCCGCGAAAGAGATGTCCAACAGTGGTTCATGCATGGACACCAAGACGCTCTTACAGTGCTAAACAAGTGCTATGCGCTGATTCACATTCCTGGAACGGTTGGGTAAGTTTGCTGTTGAACAACGTATTTGAGTCTCTGCTAATTCCTCCAAGATTCATTTGCTGGTATTACTACGTCGCACCGTCCTTTGACACTTTTGCCATCGCCCGCCGAACCCTTACCCTGACCAACTTCTGCGCTTTTATGACCTTTGTTGTATACCCATGCATGCCGCCACGACTTCTACCTACCGAATACGGCTTCCTTGACACTGTCCGTCACGACGATGCACAGAGTGTATGGATGAGCGGCAAGTTCGTCAACCAGCTTGCAGCCATGCCGTCGATGCACTTCGGCTACTCTTTCTGCATTGGCATGACTATGATCTACCACTCCGGTCTTTTCCGCCGCACCCTGGAACAGGGTGAAGTACGCAAGAACGCATTCTGGAAGATCTTCTACCTACTTCTAGGAATTGGATACCCTTCCTTCATCTTGACAGTTATCGTTGCTACGGCCAACCATTACTTCATGGACGCATTGGTGGCTACCTGCTTTGTCTTCCTTTCCTTCCTTTGCAACAAGTTCTTTTACGTCTTCATCCCGCTTGAGGACCTCCTACTTTACCTTATCCGAGCGGACAAACCCGTCCCCACAACTGGCGATCGCTTCCACGAGAAGGGTGGCCGTCTGTAGTCTGACGATCCGACTACTCCCCTTGAGCCCTTGGCTCCGGTTGAAAACCTTGTTCACTTTAATCTCGTCGCATTTATGGAGCATAGCATTATCGGCGGCGTTGGTTAGAACACCTGAAAATTACCCATGTAGCAATTGGATATCATGCAAGTAGCGACGTTATATGTACATATTCTAGATCCGAATTCAAATTATCTCTATTGCATTCCCAGTCGTTGCTATGTTGTTGGTGCAGACATGTTTGTGTGATGCTGGCTGACGCTCACCAAGACCTGTTCCTGCGTTAGCGTGGAGAGAGCTCCCCAGCTCCAGCTCTCGAAGACGCGTACACGCTCTCAAGAAGGCTCCTGGTCGTGTCCAACCACCACTCAACGCTCTCTAAGTGGTTCTACGCGCTTTGACACGCGAGTTTTGTATAGCGCTACCATCTCTCTAGCTATCCGCTTTTCGCGATTCATACTATTTTCTGTTTGCTGACATTGATATTCCGCATAGCTATCTTCGAGCTTGCTTCGAATAGCTTCATTCGCTTCCACACACTTTCTTCCGCTATCGCATATACCCAGTCATAATAGTTATGGCGGATTTTGAGCAACAGACGCCGATTGAGGGCACACCCGTCAATGACATTGAGATGGAGGGCGCGGGTGATGCTGAAGCTGGCGCGGGCGAGACAACACTCTTGCCTGAGATTGAACCGGAGACGCCCAAGCTGGTTCTCTTCGCTGAGTAAGTCACGCTCGTATACATACATGAGGCCTGGGTATGTTTTGGTGAGCTGGCAAAAGCAGGGGTGCACTGGTTGCGCGCATGAGGCTTGACAGCTAGAACACAGCCGGAGACTGTGCGCGCAATCATTGCCTCAGCTTTGCGGAATTCTGACATGTTCCTTGCATTCATCAAGGTCAAAGATATACAAAATGGATGCGCAGCTAACATGCGACTAGTCTCATGAAGAGTCCGATCGTCGAAGTCATTGTGGGATCCGGAGACGACCGAACTACATACTCAGCACACGAGGCAGTTCTCGTGAAGTCGCCAGAGTTCGTCAAACAGGTTGAGAAGTTTGCGCCAGGAGGGGTACGTTACTAGGCCCTCGCTCAGCCAGAAGTCGCTTACTGGCAGTCTCTAGCCTCGCCAGATCGTCTACACAGATTGCGACGTTGACGCCATGGGCTCAGTGGTTGAATACCTCTACACCGGCGAATACTTCCCCAAGAAAACATCCGGCGCACGCGACGCACCTCTCGAGAAGGACCCGCGGCAGCCGTCTACTGATAACGAAGGCTTGGGTCTTCTTGTCCACGCACGCATCTACACCCTCGCGGATCGTCTCCAACTCCCAGAATTGAAGTCCCTCGCACATTCCAAAATCCACCGTACGGCCTCGACAGCAAAGGGGGAGCTCGCATACGCACGCTACGTATACAAGGAGTCTAACCCCGAAGACGCGACTATCCGCAAGCCCGTGGCTGCTTTCTGGGCTACACGCAGCTACAGCCTACGCCACGACGCCGAGCCAGAATTTAGGGCCATGTGTCTCGAGTTCCCACAATTCTCGTACGATGTGCTCCAGCTTGTCTTGGACCAACAAGAGAAGAAGCGTGGTGGTGATGATGGGCCGAGTCGAGGTGGGCCGAGCGTGGTTCCTGGAAGCACGAGGAAGAGGGCTAGAGTTAGTCAAGTATAGATGCGAGACTTGATTTTGCATCGTGCTTGATTCTTCTTCTTACCTCCCTTGGGATTCTTCCTTGCTTCCCGTGTTAAAATCCTCTCTGGTTTCTATCACAGGATAATCCAAATAAACATTTGTACGACGCGCCTGGCTTTGGCGAAATGTTCTTTTGGGGCCTGTAGGACGTGGTTTTCACTCGCATTGATTTCCTTTATCATATCCAATCTCGGTTTTGTAAATCACGTCTACCGTCGAGCACCTAGCAGCGGTCATGATATTCTGACATGTCGAAAAGCTTTGCTCAGCATTCAGGCTGAGGGTAGTGCTGGCGTAGACCATATGTTCCTCGGGTATAACACCATGGACATTGGCCGCTAAAGGTATTGCGATAGCAGAAAGCATGGCGTATGTAAATAGGCAACAAGCTTATCAGTTTCATATGTTCAATCAGTAGATTGTGTTGATAGCGCCGTGTCATATGTAGAGTATTGTTGAGCCCAGTGTTCTTATCATGGAGGTCATTCCGCCAGAGCGTAGTGGTACGTACCCCAAACTTAGTCGTATATGCTCAACATCGAGATCTGAGTAAGCGCTCAAAGCATGGCGGTTGTACGTGCAGATATATTATCACATCCCCATACATAAATTCGAAACACAGCGAACGATTCGCTGAAGCACTTGGCTATATCAGGTGCTCAGAGTTACAATTACTTGCGTTGACCCTTGTTTAGAGGAAAGCCACTGGATGCATTATGACGTGACGGAAAGCTTGCTGCAGGGACGGGGGTCACGTAGCGTGAACGTAGTGCTGAGCTATAGAACTACACATTTGTTGGGACGACGGTGCTACATGCACAGTGCCCATTGCCGGACTGTAGAGTCATTGTTGCTTGGATAGGTAGCTGCCAAGTACGGGCGAAAGAGGGGTCAGTGCCGCTGCGGGATGTGGAGGACACGGTACGTGAGCGTTATGGGCAAGAAAGGTTGCAATAAAGAAAATGCCTCGATCATGGAGAGCGTACTGATCCCTGGTAAATGAGCAACTTACTGGGTAGAAGAAGCTAGCGACGCCGTCGTTCAAGTGTGTCGACTGTCAAGCGGACCAAAGGGCTAAGGTAGCATTCACGCTAGAGTACAAATGCTGGGCATGGGTGTCTGTTTCGGGACCCTCGAAAGCTCCCATAGCCCGGGTAATTTAAGCCATGGCGTCGATGTCATCAACTATTGGCGATGGCTACGGACAATAGTCCAGGTTCTCTGACATCTGTCATCCATCGTTTGGTGACATTGCGGTCCGGCTATCGACGAGTGGAACACGCCACCCGAGGGTGAGAGGGCCGGTCAAGACTGCGCGAACACGTGGAGGTGCATCACAGTGCGCATGTTCGTGATTTGAGGGTGGGTCGATTGGCTGCAAGTTGTGCGATCGTAGAGTTTGTGATACAGCGACCCGGTCCCGCGATGCATGCATAGTGTTGCCAGATCTACAGAGGGTGGTGGGAGGGTGTACTGTTACGTGCTGTCATTGCCTGCCGTCCCAATGCGACGGGCGTGCGTTAGCCGTGCATTGGCAGGAGGTACTTTGTAGCCACAAACTGCGAGACAATGGTCACGATGGCAGCAATGGAGTCTGAAAGTAGGGGGCGAGGCCAGGTACAAACGTAAGGTAGCCGCGGTTCAGCAGGCAATAGTTATAGACCCGAGTCTGGCCAGGTGCTTCATTTCTCCGAGATTCCTCTTCATCTCCGCAATTACTCTCACATGACAGTCCAGTAGGCAGCTCCATCGTGTCTCCAGGGCTTCGTCGCTTGTTCTAAGGCGCGGCGGACCCTGCAGAACCACGCAGGTGCCCCGCAGTATTGTGCCCGATATCTACAAACTCGCGCACTCTTTCGGAATCCACCCCGGAACTCGAACCTATGCATCTTCTCATCCCGCCGCTGGGTACTTAACAGCTAATTAACCGCCAATCACGACGGCCTGGATCCACCATCTCTCTTCCTTTCTCTCGTTGCCTCGAGAGATGCAGGCTGTTTAGGGAGACAGCTGCGCGTCTTTTGCCTGCACTGTCACGGCCCGGTGGGCCAGCGCTCTAGCCTTGTTCTGCACTTACGAGACCCGCTCTCGGGCCTCGCATCGTGAGTCGACGCTCTCCAGCGCTCCACGTACCCTCACATCGTGACCCGCCAACGCACTCGGCGCGCTTCACCGCGCCTTGTCAGGGTTCGTCCAGCCACTTTACGCTACTCTTCCATGGCCACCGTTTATACAACGCGGCAGCGAGCTTCGGGACGGCGCTTGCATCAAGGTTCCGACCAGCTGCAATAAGTCAAGCCGCAATCCTTCTAGCGTCACTTGACCTTACAAACTGAACGCCTCTCCCCAAGGCTATCGATTATCGTATCTTCCATTGTCCTTCTATACATCGACACTCACATCGCCAACCCTCTAACCCCTACGAATACGAGCCTCCCTAGTCGTCACGCTAATCACGCTGATCCTCACATCCAAGTGTAAGCTAATGTTCAGCACTACGCTGGACTTCGTGTTGATCAATTTCAGGCCTCCGACATTCTACATACTACGTCCTACATCAATCTCTTCAGCTCTTGCTCGATACACTTTCCACCTGCAAAGTATATCGGTAGACTTCGGCAGCATATCCACACTTCCAAATGATCCAAGTGTGCCACGCAGCCCCTCCATACAAGACCGTGCATCCGAGGCGACTCGTACTTGCACCGGTCATTCAAAACCAACAAACCATGGATCCTCCCTCAGCACCCAACCCGGCAGGCGATGCAGGAGTACTACCCCATTTCAACAGCCTCAGCATTCAGGACGCACCATCACCACCAACCAATGACACCGATCTCGATGTTTTGACCATGTCACGAGAAACCGCCATGAAATTAATCGCCCGCTCGATAATCGCCATAGCCAATGCAGCCGGCGACGTACCAGCAACACCGCCACTCTCACGGCCTGGAACGCCTGGAGGAAGGGAAAACCATCTCATTCGATCACATCGGCGGACAGCATCCAGGCCAGCGACGCCTATACCCGCTGAAAAAGAGAATCATCAACCCACCGAACTAGCTCCACCCGAAGCGGGTCACGATGAGCCCGTCACTATACACGACATTGGCGCCGGAGCGCAGCCCGAGTCCGTGCAACGAGCCAACATGGCTCGAAAGTTTTTCTCCAAGACAGTGCCTAAAGTCGGTGTTGAGGAGTACATGAACCGCATCCAGAGATTTTGCCCCTTATCTACTGCTGTTTGGCTGGCTGCTGGATCGTACATGCTGCGATTATGCGTTATCGATAGGAGCGTTCCTCTCACATACCGCACAATGCATCGCCTCATCCTGGCGTGCGCTCTCGTCGCAATGAAGGCACTAGAGGACCACCGATGGCCTCAAAAACGATTCGCTGCAGTAGGAGGTGTTGACGAGGCGGCGCTTAGCCGATTGGAGCTGTGTGTGGAGTTTTTGCTGTCGTTCGATGTCCAAATCTTCACACCGGAGAAGCTGAAGGATTTGACGCTTCAACTGCAAAAGGCGGGACAGGCAGCGACCATGACATGCAGATTACCGACGTCATTCAACCTAAAGCTGAATAGCCCAAAGATAAGGAATGCACAGGCTGTTTGAATTGAGCGACACAAAAGGCAAGCGTTTCCTTTTGAGCGGATTTCAGGATATCCTCATTTAGCATAACAATGGCGTTTGGGTAGCAAAACACGGACACGATAGCTGGGAAGCTTCTGTACTATAGACACCAAGAGGTGTGTACTGGAAGAAAGTCAAAATTTTCGACGTGCAAACAAAAGCTGCAGCGAGCCCACTTTTGGCGGTTGATTGTGGAGACCCGATGTTGAGGATTCAGGTACCGGCCCCAAAGTGGGAGATAGACGAGTGGAGCAAATCGGATGCTATCTGTTTAGGCTGTTTGAAGTGTCATAGCAACGACATGCACGTTAATCCAACAAGTAGTGTGGTCAACCATGGAACTGAAGTGTACATGTTTATTGCCATGGTGTTGAGGCGTCGCAATAGAGCGATAATCCCTGCCAATCGCAGATTAGCGTGCGCGGCAACGACGATCGTCCCCTGGCGTCGCCGCATGTTGCTTGATTGATTCCAGACTGCATCCTCTACTCAACACTAACAACCACCGCGCAATACCCGTCTCCACTGTTGCCTCGTCTCGACGCATCTGTTTATCGCATTGAAGATACGCGTAAAGTGCGTGTATCGCGCCCCTCGTTCCATTACCGGACAGCAGCTACGACCCACCCCTCCACGCTCGCTTTCCTAGCCACACCGCTGCCCGACCGCCACTCGCTACTATCACAATCCTCACGATGACTCGGATACTACTTCCCCTCGCACTTCTCGCCGCTCTGTCTCCACTTGTCAACGCCGGCGTCAAGTTCACATCACCGAGCGCGAGTGACAAACTCACGGCTGGCACAGCCGTTACCGTGAAATGGGAAGAGGGCGGCTCTGGACCTGCGCTGACAGATCTGACGACTTATCAGCTGCAGCTGATTGTAGGAGGAAACGAAGGCTCTGAGCAGGTAGGTCACAACACAGGCACTCGTGGAGGCGCACTGAGATGTTCTAACAATGGGAAATAGTTCGTAGTTGGTACCATTACACCCAGCGGTGCTTTCACAGCTGGCAACACAGCTTCGGGTAGGATCGAAGCAGGAATGTCTGAGGACTTGGGGACCGCCAATGCCTAGTATGTTCGCACAATCAGCCCAGTTCAGCAAGATGCTAACTCGACTGTCACAGCTTCATCAAGATGATCGCCGTGGGAAAGACTGGCGGTCAGCTCGTCACCTACTCTGACCGCTTCCAGTTCTCTGGCTTCACAGGCAAAAATATCCTCAGCCCTACTGTCAAGAAGGCTGCGGAGGATATCGACACCACCGCTGGACCAGCAACCGAAGACACAACGACCGATGGAACCGATCCCGCTGCAGCGGACCCTGCTGAGGGCGACTACGGTGTGACCTACACAATGCAAACGGGCCCTACGCGTTATGCGCCCATGCAGCCTGTACCGCCTACAAAGATTACCGCAAAGAACACGAAGCCGCTGTATCCTACCAGCAGCGTCAAGATTGCAAAGTCGAAGCTGCCAATACCGACCATCCAGACTACGCTCACGCAGAGTCAAACATTCTCTGTTAAGAGCATGGAGAACACGGTACGTCATTTGTTGTGCGCAGAGATGCGCGACTTGCTTGCTATCCAGAAGATGTACTGATTGTTGTTTAGGTTGCCGCGGCTCCTCACGCTACGGACGATATGGCCAAGTACCTCAGACGCTGGCAGGACTAGTCTTCCTTTTTCGAAAAGCATAGTCGATCGACCACTCAACGCAACGGACGAAGATGAACGACCAACCTATACCGACTTCGATAGATGATAAACGTTGGCGCATGGTGTGGCTGTCCATTCATTGTGTGAAAGATTAAGGGTTGGGGATCTGAAAGCACGAATTGCACTAAACAGCTCGTCGCTCGTATGAACAATGAGTTGTCTTGAGGTATTTTTGGTCTACGCGGAGCGTAAAATAGGTTCGCGCTGAATAATGATGGCATAGCGGACTGGCGTCTGGAGCTCAAGCGTGTTTATTGGCGTTGAACGACTTGTTCTGGGTTGAGAAATTAGACATGATCATGTAGCATTACAAAAACTATCAACCCGACATCCGCTTCACAGGGCGAAGATTTGCGACGTACATCTTTTGACCGTCGGAACAAATAGATGCACCTTCCTTTTTGAAACATCGCGACACGTAGACCGCGGCTACCCGTCAGACGCGTGCGAGCTCACCCCACCACCCCACCTTCCCGGCCTGTAGCTATCGTCGCGCCTAACATCAGCAAAGCTCCTCGAAGCTCCCCCATGCGTGCCCTACTACCTCATATCAGCCGTTCACTTCGACACACTTTACGTGCACGTCAACCATCACCAACAAGACACTCGGCCATCGCGACACCCTGCTTTTACACCTTATCTGCAGAGAGCGACAGCTGGACAAACGTGCACAGGATGGCTATTGCCGAAAACTATGAAGACGTGCTGAAGGGCAAGTACCCGGCCAAAGCACACGCGAAGAAGGTCGCAGCGTGGATCATTGAGAAGGGCGGTGACAAGAACGGAACAATTTATCTAGAGGCGCAGAAATTGAAGCTGAACGAGGTAGGTGCCCATAGTGATGCTCAGGTTCACAACAGACACTAATTCTCTGGTTTAGGACAATGATGGCGAGGCACCGTTCCGGTAGGTCCTATAGTGACCGAAGAGAAGCATGGAGCTAATTGTCTTTATCCAGTCAGCGACGTTACTTTTTCTACCTCAGCGGATGCGAACTGCCAGACTCCTATTTGGTATATGAAATCGCCACTGACAAACTTACTCTCTTCATCCCTCCCGTAGAACCCGACGAGGTCATCTGGTCCGGCCTACCTATGAGCCCTGAAGAAGCTAAAGCAAAGTATGACATTGACGAATGTCTAACGACCAAGGACGTCAACTCTCACCTCGCCAGTCAATCCGAATCAGCTCAATCAACCATCTACGCCATTCCGGAGCAGGTCTCGGACCACGTTACCTTCATCTCTTACAAAGAAAAGGAATTCAAACAACTCAAGACCGCCATCGAATATTGTCGCGTCACCAAGTCAGACTACGAAATCGCGCTTATTCGAAAAGCAAACGCCATCTCAACAGCAGCCCATGAAGCCGTTATGAAGGCTGCGTCGAAAGCACAGAACGAATGCGAACTCGAAGCTGTGTTCCTCAAGGTATGCGTAGAGCGCAACGCGAAGAACCAAGCCTACCACTCTATCGTTGCGGCCGGTGAACATGCTGCGACATTGCACTATGTCAACAATGCTGCGCCAATTTCGGATCAGAATCTTCTGCTGCTAGATGCAGGATGTGAGGTTGACTGTTACGCCTCCGATATCACGCGCACTTTCCCTGTAAAGGGTAAATTCACAGCCGAGTCCCTTGCTATCTATAAGATTGTGCTGGACATGCAACACCAGTGTATCAACGCACTCAAGGCCGGCGTAGTGTGGGACCATGTCCACGAGCTTGCTCACAAGATTGCTATCAAGGGACTCCTGGATCTAGGCATATTGAAGGGCGACGCAGACGAGCTGTTCAACAAAAGGATTAGTGTAGCTTTCTTCCCTCACGGTCTGGGTCACTACCTCGGAATGGACACTCACGACTCTGGTGGTGACCCCAACTACGCTGACAAGGATGTCATGTTTAGGTATTTGAGGAAGAGGGGCACCCTGCCTGAACGTAGCGTCATTACCGTCGAGCCTGGCATCTACTTCTGCAAGTTCATTATCGAGCCATATCTCAAGGATGAGGAGAAGAAGAAGTACATCGATGAGAGTGTGTTGGAGAAGTACTGGAGTGTGGGTGGTGTAAGGATTGAGGGTATGTTACCACGATGAGGCGTGTCGATGATATATGCTAATGCTTTGCAGATAACGTGCTCGTCACCAAGGATGGACACGAGAACCTGACACCGACGGTGAAGGAGATTGATGATATCACTCAGTTGATTGTATCTGGACAGTAGAAGCTTACTTTAGATTGCTACGATGATGAACCACGCGAAGGAAGCAATTGATACCAGGAAACGATTGCAACATTTCGACAGCTCTGTTTGTCTCTCCTAGCCAGTGATTCACGCTCAAGTAGCCATGCAGTACTGATATCCAGCCCAGAGATTGGAACAATCGTCCTTTAGCTTCGAGTTGAGCTGACGCAGCTTGGCGAAAGCAATGGGTGCGGACTCGCAGGTGGCGCCTTCCTTAGGAGTGTAGTATCTGGTACAGCCATCTGCTGCGCCTGTGACGTTGGTGTCGAGGACACCACTATCGCCGGCTTCAACATCGCTGGCCTCATCTGATGCTGCCTGCTTGTTGTCGGTCTGATGTTGATCCAGGTCGATTCTCTGGTTGCCACTATCGTTGTTCTCGCTGTAGTTTCCCTCGCGGCCTTCCGTCATAGTAAGTTCAGCAACAGCATTGTTATTGCAGCTACTCTCTCCAAAAGGCTTGATGAGACGATTTGCGATATCGGATGCGTAGCACGCCGTAGCACTATGACCCAGGTTTGGATTTGTGATTTGAGAGCCGGAGTTGTAGCGACGCGCTGCTTTGTAGTACTTGCTGTCGTCCGTCGTGGTACTGAAAGCACTAAGCGACTCTTTCAGACTCGTCCTCAATCCCTCTCCCGCAGTACCTTCGTGGATCATGGCACGAATGTCCTTGGCGGGGCATGGTGAGATGGGACTCTGACTGAGGGGATGACAAGTTGTAGTACCCGCGCCTTGCATAAGACCTGGGTTGTGTGCGTCGGACTCGGAGGTGGGGGCGCGCACACAGCCCTTGGACTCTTGCATCATTATGGCGAGTATGAATTCCTTTGGGACGCCGGAAACCTCTGACTCTGACTCTATGCTGTCCTTGATGGCCTGTATTTCTGCGTCGTTGTTGTTGTCGCCCCAGCCGTTGTGCTTGCATGAACCTTTGATGAAGCCTTGATTGGCATTCCTACTACGGTAAGTCTATGTTACGTCGCCTCCTTGATGAGGACATACCAAG